AAATCTCTCAAACCAACCTTTGCTGGCTTTAAATTCACCAATATGAGCACTAGTTCCAGGCATTTTTTCCCTGTTCACCTGGGTGTTAGTCGACTGGTGTGGGTTGCATCCTGGGAGACAAGATTAAGGACCCCAATGGAAATAAGTTAGACAGTCTTCGATGACACTGACTTTTTTGGGTTATCCTGGGTGGCAAATCCTCTGGGGTTAATTGTTTCTTGGTATTCTCGATAAGCCACACCAACAAAGGTGCTACAGCAGCAGCAGCAGCTGACGGTGGTACAGCAGCAACAGACGATGCTACAGCAGCAACAGACGATGCTACAGCAGCAGCAGACAATGCTACAGCAGCAACAGACGATGCTACAGCAGCAGCAGACGATGCTACAGCAGCAACAGACGATGCTACAGCAGCAGCAGACGATGCTACAGCAGCACAGACGATGCTCAGCGAGCAGATGATGCTAGCACAGACGATGCTACAGCAGCAACAGACGATGCTACAGCAGCAGCAGACGATGCTACAGCAGCAACAGACGATGCTACAGCAGCAGCAGATGATGCTACAGCAGCAGCAGACGATGCTACAGCAGCAGCAGACGGTACTACAGCAGCAGCAGCAGCTGACGGTGGTACAACAGCAGCAGCAGCTGACAGTGCAGCAGCAGCTGACAGTGGTACAGCAGCAGCAGCAGCAGCTGTACCACCAATAGTAGCGATGGTTGATTGGGGTTTATTATACAACCTGGCCAGCTCGGAGACACGCACTCCACTTTCATACTTATCAATGATCTTTTTCTTCATCTCTATAGTAATTATCACCCTTATTGCTGTAGGGTTGGCACTAGAAGCTTTCTTGGGGCCCATGGTCACTTATTTTCCAGAAAAAATCACCAAAAACACTGTAATAATACGAAATGTTCCGATTGTATGCTTGGATGTTACCGCGGAGGCTGGCTGGTAAACAATGCCACCGGCGGAACATGTGAGCGTGGCTCAGGCCGCACATTGGACGCGTCTCGGACGAAGGGCGGTGAGCGGGTTTTTGGGCAGTATGCGAGGCTAAATTTTTGCGATCAAAGCGATCGGTATGCGGATTGTATGGTATGAGATGCGTACGGTATGCGGGGGTCCGCTGTACTGGGGTCAGACACCTGGGTTAGTTGCTAGCTGGCTTATCTTAACCCTTAACACAGAATAGCTTGATAACTTCTCACGATGAGCACAGCAGGGGTGGAAGCTGGCTTGGCAGGCAAAAGAATTGGATGAAGTAGACTAGGCTCGACTGGGCTCCCTCACCACAGACTGGAAGCTGGCTTATTTTGCAAACTCGGGTCAACCCCTCGGGAGTGATGCAAATAAGCAGATAAACACTAATACAAAGAGACTGACCAGTGAATGGTGTAGAAGCTGGTAGGAGCTTGGGCGGGAGAACTGGCTGAGATAGCTGGCTGGCGTAGGTCGGCCTACTGGTGACACGAAATGGCCGTCTTGCTGGTCGAAAGAAATCTCCGTACATTGGCGTAATTATCAGTTTTACGCCCACACTGCTGTCACCATTTATCGTAGGGGTTCTTAAATGGAGATATCGAGGGTTGAAGGTAGACACACTTGTTGGATGGTAACATATATTGTCAGACTGAGATGATGAGAAATGGAGCCCAGCCTCTGCCTGTCTTAGCCTGGATGTCTACACCGACTGAGACCGGGGCAGAGGTACGAACGTACACATGCGCATCCCGTGACGTCACACAAAGTCACAGGCCTAAAAGGGATCTCCTATCTAAAGCACATGGATGATACTAATATGCTATACAACACAGGGATCAGCAACTATGCTGACACATCCACGTGTGGCCTGAGTGCGCCTCAGTTGTCCTGTGGGTGCCAGTGTTTACAAGCCAGCCAGTGCGGTCGCATCCATGCATACAATCGGAACATTTCATATTATCACAGCATTTTTAGTGATTGTACCTGCAAAATAAGTCACCATGTGCCCCAAGAAAGCTTCTAGTGCTAACCATGCGGTAAAAAAGGTGAAAATTACTTTGGAAATGAAGAAAGAGATAATTGCTGAGTACGAAAGTGGAGTGAGTGTCTCGGAGCTGGCCAGGTTGTATACCAAACCCCAATCAACCATCGCTACTATTGTGGCGAACAAAACAACAATCAAGGAAGCTGTTCTTGCAAAAGGTGCAAGTTTGTTTTCCAAACAGAGATCACAAGTACTCGAAGATGTTGAGAGACTGTTATTGGTGTGGATAAAAGAAAAACAGCAGGAGATAGCATCTCTCAAGCGATCATATGTAAAATGGGTGGGAAATACGTACTATCGTACCACGGTCAGCTGCTGCTGCACCACGGTCAGCTGTTGCTGCACCACAATCAGCTGCTGCTGTAGCACGGTCAGCTGCTGCTGCAGCATGGTCAGCTGCTGCTGCAGCACAGTCAGCTGCTGCTGCACCACGGTCAGCTGCTGCTGCACCATGGTCAGCTGCTGCTGCAGCACAGTCAGCTGCTGCTGCACCACAGTCAGCTGCTGCTGCACCACGGTCAGCTGCTGCTGCACCACGGTCAGCTGCTGCTGCACCATGGTCAGCTGCTGTTGCACCACGGTCAGCTGCTGCTGCACCACGGTCAGCTGCTGCTGCACCACGGTCAGCTGCTGCTGCACCACGGTCAGCTGCTGCTGCACCACGGTCAGCTGCTGCTGCACCATGGTCAGCTGCTGCTGCACCACAGTCAGCTGCTGCTGCACCACGGTCAGCTGTTGCTGAACCACGGTCAGCTGTTGCTGAACCGCGGTCAGCTGCTGCTGCACCACAGTCAGTTGTTGCTGCACCAGTGAGCTGTTGCTGAACCACGGTCAGCTGCTGCTGCACCACGGTCAGCTGCTGCTGCACCATGGTCAGCTGCTGCTGCACCATGGTCAGCTGCTGCTGCACCACCATCAGCTGTTTCTGACCAACATGACTCGTCCCGAACCTGTCCATCCAGCCCTGCCGTCATTGTTTACAAGCCAGGGTGGCCGGTTGCATGCATACATTCGATACATTTTGTATTATTCCACTGTTTATAGTGCTTGTAACTGCTAAATAAGCCATGGGCCCAAAGAAAGCTTCTAGTGCCAACCCTGTGGTAAAAAGGGTGAGAAATATGTACTATTGTACCATGGTCAGCTGCTGCTGTACCACCATCAGCTGTTGCTGCACCACAGTCGGCTGTTGCTGCACCACCATCAGCAGTTGCTGCACCACGGCCAGCTGTTGCTGCACCACGGTCAGCTGTTGCTGAACCACGGTCAGCTGTTGCTGAACCCGGTCATCTGCTGCTGCACCACCGTCAGCTGTTGCTGCACCACGGTCAGCTGTTGCTGCACCAGTGAGCTGCTGTTGCACCACGGTCAGCTGTTGCTGCACCAGTGAGCTGCGGTTGCACCACGGTCAGCTGCTGCTGCACCATGGTCAGCTGCTGCTACACCACCATCAGCTGCTGCTACACCACCATCAGCTGTTGCTGCACCACAGTCAGCTGTTGCTGCACCACAGTCAGCTGTTGCTGCACCACAGTCAGCTGTTGCTGAACCACAGTGAGCTGCTGTTGCACCACGGTCAGCTGCTGCTGCACCAGAGTCAGCTGCTGCTGCACCACAGTCAGCTGCTGCTACACCACCATCATCTGTTGCTGCACCACAGTCAGCTGCTGCTGCACGAAAGTCAGCTGTTGCTGCACCAAAGCCAGCTGTTGCTGCACCACGGTCAACTGGTCCTAGTGGCATTAAAAGAAGAATGGAAGTAACCCTGGAAAAGGACGTGCTACCTAAAGTCCTAATGGAAGGGGATTCCCCTTCTAAACATTAACAACTTCCATACTCTCCCCTCCTCCCATCCCATCAATCATCACCAGATCTTCAATAAAGGTAAGTGTAAGTTTGTGTGTATTAAAATTAATATTTCATGTGGTAAAAATTTTTTTTGTTCATTGTGGTGTCTTGCACGGATTAATTTGATTTCCATTATTCCTTGTGGGGAAAATTAATTCAGCTAACGATGATTTCATCTAACGATGAGCTTTCTGGAACAGATTAATATCGTTAGCTGAGGGTCCACTGTATTAAGTTTAATTGATAAATTATGCATAATGGAGAATTGTCACTTTTTCACTGATGGGAAGCACTTCACGGCTTCTCTTAGACTTTCAAAAGCTTCCACTCTTGCTACTTTTGCACTTTGAGGCCATTATTAAGCAAAATTAAGGGTTATTTTGAGGCCACAGCAAACCACAGATAACTGAATGTGCGGATACCAGACCTGTGGATATGGGGGTCTTGCTGTTTTATATACAATGGACCTTCAACTAACGAAGGCGTCATCTAACAATAAAATCGACTAATGAAGCGTTTTAGTGTAAAAATTTTGGCCCAGCCAGCGATGAAAAACTCGACTAACATCATTCATCCCGGATGCGTCCATCTCATTTCAGCTAGTGTAGCATTGTTTACAAGCCAGGGTGGACGGTTTGCACGCATACATCCGATAAATTTTGTATTATTCCATTGTTTTTAGTGCTTGTAACTGCTAAATAAGCCACCATGGGCCCAAAGAAAGCTTCTAGCGCCAACCCTGTGGTAAAAAAGGGTGATAAATGCTATCGAAATACTAATCGTACTACGATCAGCTGCTGCTGCACCACCATCAGCTATTGCTGCACCACCATCAGCTATTGCTGCATCACTGTCAGCTGGTGCTGCCCCACGGTCAGCTGCTGCTGCTGCTGCTGTACCATGGTCAGCTGCTGCTGCTGTACCACGGTCAGCTGCTGCTGCACCACCGTCAGCTCTACTACTCGAAGATGTGGAGAGACTGTTGTTGGTGTGGCTTAACGAGAAACAATTACTGAGAAACAACCCCAGAGGGTTAGCCACCCAGGATAACCCAAGAAAGTCAGTGCATCACCGAGGACTGTAACTTATTTCCACTGGGGTCCTTAATCTTGTCCCCAGGATGCGGCCCACACCAGTCGACTAACACCCAGGTGAACAGGAAAAAATGCCTAGAACTAGTGCTCATATTGGTGAATTTAAGACCAGCAGAGGTAGGTTTGAGAGATTTAAGAATCGTAGTGGCATACACAGTGTGATAAGGCATGGCGAAGCTGAAAAATTCATCCCCCAACAAGTGTTCAATTGTGACAAAACAGGCCTGTTCTGGAAGAAAATGCCAAACAGGACCTACATTACTCAGGAGGAAAAGGCACTCCCAGGACACAAGCCTATGAAAGACAGGCTAACTCTCATGTTTTGTTGTAATGCTAGTGGGGACTGCAAAGTGAAGCCTTTACTCATGTATCACTCTGAAAATCCCAGAGTGTTCAAGAAAAAGTGTGTCTCATCACTCACCGCTACATCTTCAATAAAGGTAAGTGTCATTTATTCTTCATTTAGTACAGTATTTATTGTGCATGTATCCTCCTTTTTCTGTGTAAGAAAATGTATATTTCATGTGAATTTTTTTTTTTTCATATGTTTGGGTGTCTGGAATGGATTAATTGGATTTCCATTATTTCGTATGGGGAAAATTAATTCAACTAACGATAAATTCGTCTAACGATAAGCTCTCTGGAATGGATTAATATCGTTGGTTGAGGGTCCACTGTTTTATAAACTCCAACTGCACCTTAACACTTTCACAGTACAGTCAGTATGTAGCATAAAAATTAGTCCTTAACTATTGAAGTATAATAAAGCCTCTGATTAATAGATTTCAGCAATTTCAAGCAAGCAACTGGTTGGACAAAAGCTCTCCATATTGGACAAAATAGACTAAAGTCTGTAATTTTGCATTTTGTCCATAATGAGTGTCTGGTTGTCTTCTGAAGTATTGGGCTAAGTCTGCTAACTCCAATGTTTGTCCAGTACGGACAAAGTGGCCACATCCAGGACCAGTCTGTTTTCATTGTTCCCTGAGCCATAGGCCATCTATGCCAGTTTCTTTTTTGTGTTCACTCATGGATACACTCATATTTCAGTCTCTAGTTTTCCCAGGATTTAGAGCATTGTGTGTCACTTTAATTAACTTATCAAGTAAGGCACAATTAACAATGGCTTCTAAAGCAAGTGGTGATGCCAAGAGAAAATGTGTGGTTCTCAGCCCTCTACATTGTTTTCAATGCTTGAGTTTTACAGCTTCTCTGACTCAGAACCAAACTTATTCCGAGTCACCACTATCGATTAAGCAGTTTACACCTCATCTCTCAACCACAAAAACATAATTAAATTTACTGTACATTATGCAAAATACTATAAAGTGCAGTACTGTACTGTAGCACTACAGGTTACAATATCCACGTTCTTAGTGTCTGGTTGTCTTCTGCATCAGTGGCCCAAGTCCACTACTGCAGAAGACAACTGGACGATCATGAAATATTAATTTCATGAGTCAGAAGTTGTAGACAGTTAGCATTATCTTACACCCCCTTCCTAGAATTAGTCCATTAATGAGAGGTTTTACTGTGTAGTTAAATTATGGGAAATTTGGTTTATGAATGGGTGAACTATTGTATGTTAAGACTGGAAAGTAGTGAAGTACTATCATGATCTCTGGCACATTATAATATGTGAACTATCATAGTTCACATTTTAATGTGACTGGGAAGTAGCAGATCAGAGCATTTTCACAACCCCTATGAGATTACCATATTAAGAATTTTTTATTTTAAGACTATATGTTAACAAAATTTATGATTCATCTTTGGAGAACAAGGTGTTAGTGTTCATATTACTGTATGTAAAAGTACAATTTCCTGTTTCTAATATTGTTGGAATAAGAACTGCTGCTGCTTCATAATAGTACATAATTAGCAGCATCTCTGGTTATCTGCAGTTGGTGTCCACTGGGGAACATTTGAAGGAGAACGTAATGTGGGCTTCATGTTTCTTGTGGAGACAGCCTTAGGGAGGATGAAGTACATTAAGATGGGCAACAGCTCTCTCACTCATCCCCCTGAAGGATTTAGCAGTATTGCTGCCAAGGGCAGACTGGAACCAGGTGAGGGAATATAGATAGTTTACATTAGCAAACTATTTTTTCCAGATCTACATTCAAGCAATGCAAATGAGACCATCTGATTACAGCTGTTCTGTACTTTAAACAAAATTGTATATAGAGAACCCATTATAAAATAGGTTCACTATATACATTATAAAATGTGAAAGATAAAGATTTGTTCTGAGACTTTGCAATTTTTTTTTTTTTTTTAAGCAAATGCATTCATACATTGTTAATGTTCATTTCAAACATGTATGAAGAGTTCACATTTTCTTTGTAAAACAGGTTGGACAAGAAGTGTAGATTATTCATGGTGTGTCATTACATAAGTGGTTGACAGGTGAGAAGAGGGTGGTTGGTGAGGAATAATGGTGAGTGGGAAGCCAGCAAGCTGTGGAAGGAGGCACCAGCCCAGCCCAGAGGAAAGGTAATGAGAGTGGAGAGAGTTGGCTGGGTGCTGAGGAGGGAGGCCCAGGACCAGGACTGGAGGTCAACACATTAAGTATGCTCACTGAATTTACCATACCAAAATCTGGTTGGTAGGTAAGACACATGGGCAACAGTTAAGCAACTTTATTCTGAAATGTTTCACCTACACAGTAGGCTTCTTCAGTAGACTACAGAAAGTAGGCAGGAGCAGTAGAGATGTGAAGACGATGTAATCAGTCCATCACCCTTAAAGTCATAGATTTGAGGTTGTCAGTCCGTCAGCCTGGAGAAGAGTTCTGTTCCATAGTCTGAAACAGTCTGAAGAGATAAGTGACATTGTGGAGACTTATATACTGTCGGAAGGAGAGGTGCAGGGTTGTAGAGGAGAGAATGTAGTTACTGAGAGGTTATGTCCTTCTCAGATCCATCAGTTCTCACTTGAAAAAGTTGTCCAAGGTGTTTTCTCTTCTGTACCAAGATGCCATTGTGTTGCAGTGTCTGACAGAGTGAATAACAGGATGGTAGGTAAGACACATGGGCAACAGTTAGGCAACGTTATTCCAAAATGTTTCGCCTACACAGTAGGCTTTATCAGTCGAGTACATTTTGCCTACTGTGTAGGCAAAACGTTTTGGAATAAAGTTGCTTAACTGTTGCCCACGTGTCTTACCTACCATCCTGTCAGTATTGTATACCATTTTGATATTTTTACCAAAATCTGTTTGCTTTAAAGTCTTTCTTATGAATGTCAATATAAATAAGTTTAGAGTGATATTTAATGAGATATGTATTGATATAAAATCAAGTGGTGCTGTGCTTGGGTCATCACATATAAGTGAAAACACAGAACAGACACTCACTTCAGTTGCATAACCGTGAACTTTAAGCGCATATAGTGAATTCCTCACTATGGGGGAATCCACATAAAGTGAAGGGAAACCCTTGGTAAATTTTGCCAATGACAAAGCACTTTTCGGAGATTCTGAAGAGAAGTTGTATGGTTGGTGGACTAATTTGGGAGGGTCTGTAGCTGAAAAAAAGCGAATATAGGAAAGAGCAAAGTGATAAAGGTAATAAAGTGTTTAGGTAATGGAAGATTGGATATCAGATTGGAGGGAGGAAGTAAGGAGGAAGTGAATGTATTCCGATATTTGGGAGTGGACTTGTCAGTGAACGGGTCTGTAAAAGATGAGGTGAACCCTAGAATTGATGAAGGAAAAAAAGTGGGTGTTGCATTGGGGCATCTCTTAAGATGAACATTATCCATGGTAGCAAAGAGGGGACTGTATGAGAGTACAGTGGCAACAACACTTATATGGGTGTGAAGCACGAGTTGTGAATGTTGCAGCAAAGGAGGCTGGAGGCAGTGGAAATGTCATGTCTGAGAGCAATGTGTTGTGTGAATATTATGAAGAGAACGTGTAGGTTGTAGATTAGAAGGAGGTGCAGGGTTACTAAAAGTATTATCCAGAGGGCTGAGGAGAGGGTTGTTGATGTGGTTTGAACATTTAAGAGAGGATGGAGCAAAGTGCTATGGCTTGGAGGGTGTATACATCTGTAGTGAGGGATGATGGGTAGAAGTCACTCTAAGAAAGTTTGAAGGGAGGGAGTAAAGGAGGTTTTGTATGTAAGGGACTTGGACATTCAACAGGCATGTGTGAGCATAGTAGTTAGGCATGAGTGGAAGCAATGGCTTTTATGACTTGATGTGCTGTTGAAGTGCAATTCAGGGAAAGTGGTTAGTTAGACTTTAGTCCTGGAGATGGGAAATACAGTGCCTGCATTCTGAAGGGGTGGAGATATTGCAGTTTGGATTGGCATCTGAACTGTAGTATCAGTGCATCTATTGAAAGATAATAATGGGGTGAGAGATGGTGAGAGTGTTTTATTTTTTTTTTTTGGTTCCCCCTACCTTGGTGGGACACAGTTGGTGTATTAAAAAAAATTAAGTAAATGATGCTTTTATACTTTTTTTTATAATGAAATTAGAAGGGTCACTTGTACTGAGCTTCACTGGAGATTAAAATCATACCTAATTATCAGTATATATTAAGTGCACTGAAATAAAACATAGTTTCAATCCTATGAGTGTGTTTATTTCTTATGCCATGCTGCTCTGGTAGATTTTTTTAAGAGCTACTAATGAAGACAAAGCCTTTGGGAATTTCTCTATGACCATGCCTTTCCCACCATTCCATTCTTATGCCGTAATTACTTATGCAACTGCTCTCTTAAGTTTTTTTTTTTTTTATCAAGTTGATATTTTTCTTTGTATTACTTTAGTCTCTCATACTTCACTTATAAATTTGACTCGACTATATCATCAGTGATTCCTCACTCTTAATGTTTTTGGCTTTGTTCTTGGCCTTCATCATAATGATAATTTTTACTTTTTATTCCATTCCATCTGCTTATACTACAGGTATTCTTGAAATAGCTTACTATAGCAGTGAATTTTGGATCTTGTTCCATAACCACGTTTCACTCACAGTGATGAAGTTGTAAGATTACCTTTTTTTTTTACTTCCACAGATCCATCTAAAGACAAGATACAAATGTTGGACAACATGAGAGTAATTATACCTATTGGACCTCCAGAACCACAGAGGGAGTTTGAAGCAAGTGGATTTTTACACAGTGAGTATGTGATATACAACGAAGGACAAGCAAGGCTTCGCTATCTTGCTAAGTTCTCCTTTGCTTAAGTAAATGCATAAATAAAATAAATAAATTAATAAATGTTTGTTTTTCAAGATACATTGTGTTACTAAGATTGGTTTATGTTGGTTGTATCTTGATGGAAAGGACAAAGTTATGCAAAGCATTTTGGGCAGACTGAAACTGGAATTTTAAATTATTTGACATTGAATAGTCAGATTACTTGAATCCTAAGCTTAGCATAACTAAGTTGTTTGGAAATAAGATTATTGAATGCAATGATCATTCCTGTTAAGTAACAAAATTCTGTTTATTAAAAGTTGCCCATTATGCATTCATATCTTGATTCTTTAACATGTTTATTCAATGAAATTTATGAATGTTTATTCACATTATCATTACATCAAACCAAAGGTCATACACTGAGTATTTTCTTAGACATTTACATTCTTGTTTATAATAGTAACACCTATTTTGTTATAAAATAGTTTTCTGTGATAATCACAGGTCTTAAATGGAGTGCATTTATTTACATGCTCCTAAGTGATGTGTTTTGTTTTATAAAAAAAAAATCATTAAGTGCTGGACTACAGTAGATAACTGTAAGTATGTTTTTTTAATTCATCATTGGTTAAGAAAGCTTCATTAATATATATCTACTGGATGTTTTATTCTAAAACATATACATGTACAGTATAGCTCTTAACTACAATATATGGAAGCTACCTGAAATATTTACACACAATATAGCTGACTACTATACATAAAGGCTACCTAAAGTATATACACACAATATCATTAACTAGCATACATAAATATCCTTGAAGTATGTATTATACATACATATTATAGATCTGACTATATATGATGATTACTGAGAGTATACAGTAGACCGTTATATTACACGGTTTTATTTGGCACATTTTGGTTATTGCACTATTGAAAAATTGCAGCACAATTTTATACAACACTTCATAAAATTAACACGGTTTGGATTGCGGGAAGGGAAAAAATTTGGAATATTGCCCGTGTGATGCTTCCCCAACACAGCTAGGAGCTGGCTGTGTTTATTGTTATATTTGTGGATTGAGTTTAGAGCTTTTAATTGTCATATCGTGTATCCACCAAACAATGATATCATGGCACCCAGTAGACATACAAGTGTTGCTGAAGGTGGCAAGAAAAGGTTTAAGCATTTAACTCTTGGAGTTACAAAGAAAATAGAGATATTAGGCAAGCTTAAGAGTGGCTCACGTGTGGTGGATATAGCGAGAGCCTATGGCCTTATTGAAGTGTCAGTGCATACAATTAAAAGGAACGAGGTAAATGTACGAGCTTGTGTAATGAATAACCCAAGATGTCACCTCATGAAAAGAATGACATGTAGATCACAACAAGTAAATAAAGCTGAAAACTTGTTGCTTGAGTGGATTGAACAAAAGACAAAGAAATGTGCACCACTTAATTTCATCATAATTAGGGAAAAGGCCTTACAGTTGTTTAAAGCAGTGTGTGATAAGGAAGGAAGGCCTGAAAAAGTGTATGTTTAGCACAGGCTGGTTTCACAACTTTAAGTTGCATAATAAGTTACATAATATTAAGTTTTCTGGTGAAAGTGCTTCAGCTGATCATACAGCAGCAAGTAATTTCCCTGCTGAATTGCAGAAAATTATTTCTGAGGGTGGCTTTGTGCCACATCAAGTGTTTAATGCTGACGAGACAAGTTGTTTTTGGAAGAAAATGCCAGCAAGAACTTATATCAGTCAGCAATAGAAAAGTGCACCGGGCTTCAAGACAGCAAAGGATTGCTTAACCTTGCTCCTTTGCAGTAATGCTTCAGGTGATTTTTAACCCTTTGAGGGTCGACAGGCCCTCTCCGAAACTCGTTCTCAGGGTCGGCCAAATTTCAAAAAAAAAAAAATTATTTTTTCTTATGAAAAAATAGAGTTTTTTTTCTAAACATTATAGGATAAACAAAAAAATTTTACCATCAATACTTACGGAGATATGGATGCATGAAGTTTGCAGAAAATGAGCAGCGTATGGCAACAGCGGCAACTGCCGCTCACCCGGTAAACTTTGATTTACTTGTATTTGAAGGTTTGTTGTTTTTTTCACTATTTTATTTTTTCACATAACTTATGTGGCCTATGAGACCAAAGTAAGGTGCAGTGTACATATATACACTCGTTGTATACAACACAATAAGCACACAAACATAATTATCAATATATTGTTTACAAAACTTGTTTACAAAAACAAACAATACAAAACATTGTTTATTATTATTGTTCTATAATATATATACCAATATACAGTCACTGAACATATTCCTATTAGTTCTGCAGCTTGTGGAACTCTGAAACATGGTGTCATACACAATGGTGTTTTATCTTTCTCCCTCATTCTATCTCTTTCAATCTGTCTCTCTCTTTCTATCTGTCTGTCTATCTCTGTCTCACAGGTACACATAAATACAAGTATACATAGTATAAATTACCTAGGATAACCCAAGAAATCCAGACAAAGTGCTATACTCTGCTTGAAGATGTGAGTAAAAGTGATGACACAGTCTTGTGGCTCTCTGAGACAGAGAGCTAGACGGATAGACAGATAGACAGGGAGCTTGACAGACAGACAAATAGACAGACAGAAATGTTAGTGTACCAGTACCAGTGTACTAGTGTTCCACCCTCCTCCTCCTCTTCTTCCTCTTCCTCCTCTTCCCCCTACTCTTCCTCCTCTTCCCCCTACTCTTCCTCATACTCTTCCTCTTCCTCCTCTTCCTCCTACTCTTCCTCTTCCTCCTACTCTTCCTCTTCCTCCTCCTCCTCTTCCTCCTCCTCCTCTTCTTCCTCTTCCTCCTACTCTTCCTCCTCCTCCTCTTCTTCCTCTTCCCCCTATTCTTCCTCCTTCTCCTTCTCCTCCTCGTCCATAGTGTAAATTACAAGGAGTCAGCAGCTGTCAAAGTGACATATTGGCTCATTACTCTTTCCCCCTCCGGCCTGTCAAAACAATGGGGTCGGATGCTGCTTCCCCTCCTCCATTCTATCTAATTATCTTTCTCCCTCATTCTATCTGTCTATCTCTGTCTCACAGGTACACATAAATACAAGTATACATAGTATAAATTACCTAGGATAACCCAAGAAACCCAGACAAAGTGCTATAATCTGCTTGAAGATGTGAGTAAAAGTGATGACGCAGTCTTGTGGCTCTCTGAGACAGAGAGCTAGATGGATAGACAGGGAGCTTGACAGACAGGCAAATAGACAGACAGAAATGTTAGTATACCAGCAAAAACAAAGGGAGGGCGATGTTCATCTCATCTTTTGGCATCAGCTCTACCCTCATTTACCCTCATCAAACGTCAGCACTTATCAGATGTTATCTCCCCTTATCTTGTTACTGTCATGGGTGAACATTTATTATTACATATTATTATTACCTATTATTATTATTATGTATTATTATTATTATTATTATTATTATGTATTATTATTATTATGTATTATTATTATGTATTATTGTTATCATTACGTATTCTTCTTCTTCCTCTTCCTCCTCCTCCTCTTCCTCCTCCTCCTCTTCTTCCTCCTCCTCCTCCTCTTCTTCTTCTTCCTCCTCCTCCTCCTCCTCCTCCTCCTCCTCCTCCTCCTCCTCTGCCTCCTCCTCCTCTTGCCTCCTCCTCCTCTTGCCTCCTCCTCCTCTTGCCTCCTCCTCCTCTGCCTCCTCCTCTGCCTCCTCCTCCTCCTCCATTCTTGGAACAAGTTTGAAGAGCTTGTAGTTCATAATCACTATCATTATCATCACCAATGCTCACATCTGAGTCTGGGATTTTGGAAAATAGGAGTTTCCTCTTTGATTCTGGTACAACTGAACGACGGCCCAGCACCAGAGGTGGAAGGCTGTGGGTTGTCTGGGTTTTCCTCACTATTACCCATATTATGGTCATTAGTTTCGGTCAAAACCTCACCAGAACCTTGAAACTCATCTTCACTGTCACTTCCATCTGTATTAGAACTGTCACTGGGGAACAAAAGTGTCCCAATTCGCCGAGGAGTGAGGAACTTCTTACCGCAGGGCACGGTGGAAATTGTGTACTATGATGGCAGTCCCACAATGCACCACTGGGTCCCAGATTTTTTTCCTACTGCGCACACCCACCACACAGACCCATTCTCTCACATCTAGGCTTATCAGCCTTTTCCTGCGAGATTTGAGGCCGCTAGAATTTATGCGTACTAGTACGTCAAAAACCCCTACGCGTAAGACGTACTAGTACGACCAAAACCCTCAAAGGGTTAAGTGTAAGCCCATGTAATTTGGAGGTCAAACCAATCAGCATGGATGACAGAGGAAATATTTATTGGCTAGTTTAAGCATCACTTTATTCCTGAAGTCAAGTTTTACCTGCACAGCAAGAACCTTGCATTCAAGGCTCTCTTCATTCTTGATAATTTCAGTACTCATCCACAAGCTTTGCTGGATATGACCTCACATGTAAAAGTTGTATTTTTACCTCCAAATACAACATCTTTAGTACAACCACTGGATTGCAAAGTTATTAAGTCATTCAAGTGTAACTACACAAAAAAGTTATAAAAAAACTAGTTGCATCAGTGGACTCTGACTCCAATCTGGCAGTACCAAGTTTCTGGAATAAATTTAACATTGCAGATGCTATCAGCTATGCTATAAGTGCATGGAGTGAAGTGCCCCAATCAACATTAAATGAAGGCTGGGGAAAGTTAGGGCCTTCTGTAATTAATTCTTTCACTGCTTTTTTCTTGCTTGACAGTCAGGTTCAGGAAATTGTTCAGCTGGCAAGGAGAGTACTAGGTTATGGTTTTGAAGATATGAATGAAGAAGATATGAATGAGCTCTTAGAAGATGATGAAGACAGGAGTCCAGGGAAAATGTTGGCAGAGCTCGATGCACAGATACAAGGGAGCCACATAACAGAAGTAGATGAAGAAGAATCTGAAGAAAAACAGTTAACATTGCAGCAGTTAGGTGAGCAGTTCCATATTATTGGTAAAGTTGCAGACCTTTTCACTGAAGAGGACCCTGACAAATCAAGAAGCAGTGCTTTAAAATGGGATCTGGTGATACCTTACTGTCAGTTGTATAATGTACTGCAGGATAAAAGAGCCCAGAGATCCATTACAGAATTTATGCACACTCCAATGCAATCATCGACTTTAGTACCAGAACTTCTACCATCTGCTTCTGCCGACAACCAACAACCATCCACCTCAGTCCAGTAGGGCCAAACCATGCATCTCCACTCTCTTCACAATCATACACAAACACCAATACCCACAATTTAAGTTAAGAAATACTATTATTTCTGCTGCATTTGTAGTCTTAAACAGTAAAAACATAATATATCACAACAGTGAACTACTGTTACATCTTCACTTTTATTTTTGAAAGATCTGTTGGTCTAGGAAAAAAGTTGTTCAGCTTTTTGGGGGCTCCCAGGAACGTAACCCTATTTTTTCCCATAAGTTCTTCAGTTTATCTAACAGTTTTACCTAAGACGGCATTTTCAGAAACGTAACTACCGTGTAATATAACAGTCTACTGTGTACAGTGGACCCTCCCTTTTCTTTGGGCTCTGTTTTTGCTCATTTCAGTTATTGCCGAATTTTTCCGTGAAGTTATTGGCTCAGTTCTCGTTGCTTTTCTCCTTTCTCATTGGTGATACCGTAAAAATATTGGCTCAGTTTTCATTGCTTTCCTCGTTTGCGTCGGTGGTATGGTACCTGTCTGAGTGTGCCACACACACAACCTCCCACACATGCATTCTGAGGAGGCAGTGTCGCTTTGTTTATGGTTGAGTGAACATTACCCTGCGAGCTCATGGGAATTATTTCGTAACAATTCATTGTTTTTTGCACTTATTTATTCTGAGTGACTGCTAAATAAGCCACTATGGGCCCAAACAAAGCTGCTAGTGCTAGTCCTTTGGTAAAGAAGGTGAGAAACACAATAGAATTAAAGAAAGAAATCATTGAAAAATATGAACGTGGCTTACATGTGATCAGCATCGTGAAGATGTACCACAGGCCTACATCAACCATCAGTTCCATCATAGCGAAGAAAAACGAAATCAAGGAAGCTGATGTTGCGAAAAGGGTAAAAGTGATAACAAGACAGAGATCACAAACACTGAAAGATGTTGAGATATTGTTCTTGGTGTGGATGAACGATAAACAATTAGTGGGAGATAGTATTGTGCAGTTGATAATTTGTGAAAAGGCAAGGCAGTTGCATGCCGATCTCGTAGAGAAAATGCTTCAAACGAGTGCTGGTGTTAGTGAATTTAAGGACAGCAAAAGGCTGGTTCGAAAAATTCAAGAAGCGTAGTGGCATACAGTGTTGTAAGGCATGGTGAAGCAGCAAGCTCAGATAAACATGCAGCTGAAAAATTTGTCCATGAATTCAAGGAGTACATAGAAGCTGAAGGATTCGTCCCCCAACAAGTGTTCAATCGTGACGAAACAGGCCTGTTTTGGAAGAAAATGCCAAAGAGGACCTACATCATGCAGGAGGAACAGGCACTCCCAGGACACAGCCTATGAAAGACATGGGGTTTCACTCTGAAAATCCCAGAGTGTTCGAGAAACAATGCCGCCAAGAGTAAATTGTGTGTGATGTGGAAGGCTAACAGTAAGGCATGGGTAACAAGGGAAATTTTCCTTGATTGATTCAATGAAGTGTTTGCCCGAGTGTGAAGATGTATGTACTTCCTGGAAAATAAATTGCCACTCAAGTGCCTCCTGGTAATTGACAATGCTCCTGGTCATCCTCCAGACCTGGATGACCAAATGGTGGAGGAGTTTAATTTCATCACAGTGAAGTTCTTGCCCCCTAATACCACTCCTCTCATCCAGCCCATGGACCAGCAGATAATTTCGAATTTCAAAAAACTCTCCACCAAAGCAATGTTTCAAAGGTGCTTCAATGTGACCTTAGACCCTAAGATAGTTCTGGAAACATCACTTCACTATCTTCAGTTGCATAGGCCTTATAAATAAGGCTTAGCAGGGAGTGACTTCCAGGATAATGAACTCTGGAGAAAATTGTGGCCAGAATATGTCCAAGAGAAAGATTTTGAAGGGTTTGGGGCTGACCATGTTGACCCTACACTTGTTGTGGAATGTATTGTGGCATTGGGGGAATTCCATGGGGTTGGATGTGGAAGAGTTGGCGGAGGACCGTAGTGAAGAACTAACCACTGAAGAGCTGCAAGAGCTTTGTCTGCAACAGCAACAGAGCACAGCTGAGGAAAATGCTTCAGAGGAGGAGGAAGAGGAACAGAGAGAAAAGGTGCCTTCTTCAGAGATTAAGGAGGTTTGTTCAATGTGGAGTAAGGTGCAAACATTTGTGGAGGAACATCAGCTGTTGCAAGCTGTATCGGCAACATGTGCAATGGCAATGCCATGTCCCATTTTAGGCAAATTTTAAAGAGATGCCAGAAACAGAGCTCTCTGGAACAATTTTTTGTGCGACAGGGGTTCAGTGACTCTTAAGCTGGTCCTAGTGCCATTAAAAAACAAAGAAGGGAAGTAACCCAGGATAGGGACTTATTACCTAAAGTCTTTATGAAAGGGGATTCCCCTTCCAAACACTAGTGACTTCTCCCGCTCACCTCCTCCCTGTCTACTATACACCAACAGCAGTCATCAATCAAGGTAAGTGTCATGTTATTATTGTTATATGCTTCATTTCTCATTCTTCTCTGTATGTAAATCTATATTTAATGTGTAAAAAAATATTTTTTGTTAATACTTTTGGGTGGCTGGAATGGACTAATTGGATTTACATTATTTCCTATGGGGAAAATGGTTTCAGTTTGTCAATTTCACATTTCATCAGACTCTCTGGAACGAATTAAAGATGAAAAGGGAGAGTCAACTGTACATATTTTATTTTATTAACACATCAGCCATTTCCCACCAAGGCAGGGTGGCCCAAAAAAGAAAAACTTTCACCATCATTCACTCCATCACTGTCTTGCCAGAGGTGCCCTTACACTACAGTTATAAAACTGCAGCATTAACACCCCTCCTTCTGAGTGCAGGCACTCTACTTCCCATCTCCAGGACTGAAGTCCAGCCTGCCAGTTTCCCTGAATCCCTTCATAAACATTACCCTGCTCACACTCCAACAGAACGTCAAGTCCTAAAAACCATTGGTCTCCATTCGCTCTGATCTAACATGCTCATACATATTTGCTGGAAGTCCAAACCCCTCTCACACAAAACCACCTTTACCCCCTCCCTCCAACCTTTCCTAGGCCGACCCCTACCCTGCCTTCCCTCCACTACAGATTTATACACTCTCAATTTCATTCTACAGTGGACCCTCGTTTTTCGTAATTAATATGTTCCAGAGAGCGTGACTATTATCGAAATTGATGATTTGCGAATTCATTTTCCCCATAAAAAATAATGTAACTCCAATTAATTCATTCCAGACACCCAGAAGTATCAACAACAATTTCTTTTTTTACCTGAAAGATTGATTTACATGCACAAAGGAATGAACATTCAGCATGACAGTTACCTTCATTGAAGGCTGTTGTTGATGAATGGAAGACGGAGGAGGAGGAGAGAGGGAAGAGAGGTTATTGTTTGGAAGGGGAATCCCCTCCCCCTCCATAAGGACTCTAGGTCACTTCAGGGGTCACTTTCCTAGCTTAAATATAGATTTACATGCAGAAAAGAATGCCAAATAAATATAAAGTACTAATAAAATGTATAAATGAGCATTTAACATCACACTTACCTTTTATTGAAAACTTTTGTTGGTGTATGGCAGAGGGAGGGGAGGCGAGTTTATTGTTGGAGAATACGACACTAATATCAACTCTACGGCTTATTTATCTATCACAATTCAACTAATATGACATAATAAACAATTTTAATAACATAGATACATGGAATATACTCTAGAATGAATAAAATAAGTCGTGTATGTCACGAGAGGTATTGTGTTGTGTTGTTGTTGGGTGTATAAGGGCCACTGAGAGTAAGCCGTCCATAATGGTGGTGAAGCAGCAGCTGAGGCGGTAGTGTTTTCTGTAGCCCTATATAGCTCCAACAACATTGGAGGAGTTGGTAGAATCACTGAAGAAGGCACCCTCTACCACCATCACAATCACTACCACCTTCTACCACTATCACAACTGCTACCACCATCACTACCACCATCTACCACTACCACAACCACTACCACCCTCTACCACAACCACTACCACCCTCTACCACCATCACTACCACCCTCTACCAACATCACTACCACCCTCTACCACCATCACTACCACCCTCTACCAACATCACTACCACCCTCTACCAACATCACTACCACCCTCTACCACCATCACTACCACCCTCTACCACCATCACTACCACCTTCTACCACTATCACAGCTGCTACAACCATCACTACCACCTTCTACCACCATCTACCACTATCACAACCACTACCACCCTCTACCACCATCACTACCACCCTCTACCACTATCACAACTGCTACCACTCTACCACCACCACCTTTGTATTTTTCTACAAACTTTTTCTTAAATTATATGTTTCTCACATTCTTTACCAAAGGGCTGGCACTAGAAGCTTTCTTTGGAACCATGGTGACTTATTTAGCACTTGCAAGCACTAAAATGAATGGAATACAGTGGTCCCTCAATAATCTTCCGGCCTGAAAGTCGTCCATTTCAGAAATAGTCCCGTTATTTCGTCTAAACATTGGCTCACAAATGGTCCGTTAACTCACTAATTGTCCTTCATTTGGGATGCGTACTCACACTCTGAGCCGCCTGGGCCTGCCTTCCCAGCCAGTGTGCCATTGTTTACCAATGAGCGACGGTCCCCTCACTTGCTCCTACGAAATATTTCATAATATTCCATTGATTTTAGTGCTTGCAAGTGCTAAATAAGCTACCATGGCTCCAAAGAAAGCTTCTAGTACCAGCCCTTTGGTAAAGAATGTGAGAAACGCATATAATTTATGAAAAAGTTTGTAGAGAAATGCAAAGGTGGTGGTGGTGGTAGAGTGGAAGCAGTTGTGATAGTGGTTGATGGTGGTAGTGATGGTGGTAGAAGGTAGTAGTGATGGTGGTAAAAGTTGTAATAGTGATAGAAGGTGGTAGTGATGGTGGTAGAGGGTTCCTTCTTTAGTGATTCAGTGATATTACCAACTCCTCCAATGTTGTTGGAGTTATATAGGGCTACAGAAAACACCACTGCCTCAGCTGCTGCTTCACCACCATTATGGACGGCTTACTCTCAGTGGCCCTTATATACCCAACAACACCTCTCGTGACATACGTAATGACTTATTTTATTCATTCTAGAGTATATTCCATGTTTCTATGTTATTAATATTGTTTATTATGTCATATTAGTTGAATTGTGATAGATAAATAAGCCGTAGAGTTGATATTAGTGTCATATTCTCCAACAATAAACTTGCCATCCCTCCCTCAAACAAGTCTCCAATAAGAACATAAGAAAGGAGGAACACTGCAGTTGGCCTGCTGGCCCATACTAGGCCAGTCCTTCACAAATCCAACCCACTAACAGAACAAATGCTACCTAAGCAATAAGCTCAGGTGCAAGCGACTCAAATCCAACCCCTCTCACTCATGTATTTATCCAACCTAAATTTGAAACTACCCAATGTTTTAGCTTCGATCACCCTACTAGGCAGACTGTTCCACTCATCAACTACCCCTATTACCAATGTTCATTTATACATTTTATTAGTGCTTTACATTTATTTGGCATTTTTTTCTGCATGTAAATCTATATTTATGCTAGGGAAGTGACCCCTGAAGGACCTAGACTCCTTATGGAGGGGGAGGGGATTCCCCTTCCAAACAATAACCTCTCTTCCCTCTCTCTTCCTCCCTGTCTTCCATTCATCAACAACAGCCTTCAATAAAGGTAACTCATGTTGAATGTTCATTCTTTTGTGCATGTAAATCTATCTTTTAGGCAAAAAAAAATGTTGTTGATACTTCTGGGTGTCTGGAATGAATTAATTGGATTTACATTATTTCTTATGGGGAAAATTGATTTGAAAATCGTCTATTTCAATAATAGTCCCACTTCCAGGAATGGATTAAGGACAATAATTGAGGGACCACTGTATTATGAAATGTATCGTATGAACTCGTGGGATCATCCTCACTCACTGATAAACAATGACACACTGGCTGGGAATGGAGTGTGAGGAGGCTCGGGGCTGTGTGTACGCGTCCCAGACGAACGACTATTTACGAATCAAACGATTCGCGAGTCAATGTTTTGACGAAAATAACGTTATGATTTTCGAAAATTACGACTTTCGAGCCTTTCGATTATCGAGGGTCCATTGTATTTTGTTCCATCCTCTCTACAGGTTCGAATCACCTCAACAACCCCTCCTCAGCTCTCTGGATAGTAGTTTTGGTAATCCCGCACCTCTGTCTAATTTCCAAACTACGAATTCTCTGCATTACAGTGGACCCTCCCTTTTCATCAATCTCAGTTATCGCCGATTTTCGTTTTCACCAAGTTTTTTCGTCAAAATGTTAGTTCCCTTTTCGTTGATGGTCTGGAACCTGTCCAGTGCCCAGCGTGCACACAAAGCTGCCTCCCACACGCATTCTGAGGCAGTGTCACGTTGTTTCTTGGTGAGTGAACATATCCTGCAAGGTCATATGAAACATATCATAATAATCCATTGTTTTTGGCACTTGTTTATTGTTTTTGACTGCCAAATAAGTCACCATGGGCCCAAAGAAAGCTCCTAGTGCCAGAACTTAATTAAAGAAAGTGAGGAACACCGTAGAATTGAAAGAAGAAATCATTCAAAAATATGATAGTGGGTGACCTCGACAGGATGTACAGGAAGGCGCCATCAACCATCAGTTCCATTGTGGCAAAGAGAAAAGAAATCATGGAAGCTGATGTTGCGAAAGGGGTGAATGAGATAGCAAAGCATAGATCCCAAACAAGTGAAGATGTGTAAAGCTTCAATGTGTAAAGCTTCAACGCAGTCCAGAGAATGTTATGACCTGAGCTGCCCAGACCATCATGTAACAGGAACGCAGTGCTACAGAGTTAGCAGAGAAAGGGAAATTGAACAGCATCCTTTTTAAGACAAAAAGAGAAAAGATCAAACAAAGGAAGAGACAAACAGGGGGAATGGTACAGAGAGGACAGGTGGGCAGTAAAATGGGGCGTACTAAACCAGGCATCAGCCCGTCAAGGCCGAAAAAACAAACAAACGTGAAGCCAGTACTGGAGAAACCAGGGGTGTGTACACCAGGGGACATACCAGGTAGTACACCACCAGTGGTACTAATGAAACACAAGACGAGACAAAGCATTCCACATGGTAATTCCTGCTTCATATTTGCAAATATACAGGGTTTGAAATCAAATAAAAATGACAAAGTTAATTATGTCAGTGGGCTCCTAACAGAAGCGAATGTCATGTTCGGAGCATTTAAGAAACATATACAAGGGATGTTTTGGACGGAAAGATAAAGTTAGAAAACTACAACATGTATAGATGTGATAGAATCAATAGTTCACAGGGAGGAGTAGGAATCTATGTAAAGGATACTTTCTGTTGCACAGAAGTGCTGAATTCTATGAATGATATACTAGAAATTCTAGGCATTAAAGTTGAAAATAGGAATTTGGTGATTATCCTAGTACGTATACAAACCGCCATCGGCAACTGCTGAGGAATTCACAAATCAGTTAAGTAAGATAGATAGCTATCTGGATAGGCTAGAAAATCCTACACCAAATATTTTACTCCTTGGAGATTTTAGTCTCCCTCATGTAAAATGGAAGATGGCGCAACGTAATGTTATACCAGAAATATCTCCGGGAAGCACCCTGGCTCAACAGGCACATACCAGGGAACTAATGAGGCTTTGTGAAAAGTACTCTTTAAACCAACAGGTAATTGATCCCACCAGAAATGAAAATACCCTGGATTTGATATTCACAAACGAGGAACTGATCAGACACAACATTTTCCATGATTTCTTTTCTCTTCGCCACAATGGAACTGATGGTTGATGGCGCCTTCCTGTACATCCTGCCAAGGTCGGCAATATGTATGCCACTATCATATTTTTGAACGATTTCTTTTTTCATTTCTACGGTGTTCCTCTCTTTACCAAAGGACTGGCACTAGGAGCTTTCTTTGGGACCATGGTGTCTTAATTAGCAGTCATACACAATAAACAAGTGCCAAAAACAATGGATTACGTATTATGAAATGTTTCGTATGACCTCGCAGGATATGTTCACTCACCGAGAAACAACGTGACACTGCCTCAGAATGCGTGTGGGAGGCGGCTTTGTTTGTGCGCTGGGCACTGGACAGGTTCCGTACCCTCGACAAAAACGGAGGAAATCGATGAAAATGGAACCAATATTTTGACGGGAAAACTCAGCAAAAACGGAAATTGGCGGTAACGGAGATCAACGAAAAGGAGGGTCCACTGTATCTGAATACATTCACCTCCTCCATTCTCTCTCCCTCCAACCTGATATCCAATCTTTTGTTACTAACACCTGAGCATTCACTTCTCTTACAACCCCATCTATAAATATATTAACCCTTTGAGGGTTTTCGTCGTACTAGTACGTCTTACGCGTAGGGGTTTTTGACGTACTAGTACTCATAAATTCTAGCGGCCTCAAATCTAGTGGGAGAAAGCTGGTAGGCCTTCATATGAAAGAATGGGTCTATGTGGTCAGTGTGCACAGTCTAAAAAAAATCCTGCAGCACACAGTGCATAATGAGAAAAAAAAACTTTGACCATTTTTTTTTAATAAATCAGCGACTTTGCAGTGTATTTTCGTATGGTATTTATTGTTGTATTCTAGTTTTCTTGGTCTCATTTTATAGAATGGAAGACATATTACAGAAATTGAGATGATTTTGGCTGGTTTTACAAAGAAAGGTGCCTTGAAATTGAGCTCAAATTAGCAGAAATGTTCGATTTTTACCAAACTTCAAAAGTAAACAAATCGTGCCAAGCGTGCAATACACGTCAACTGGTGAGTCTAATATTCTTTCACAAGTGCACCAATAATATTTATACCATTTTTTACACTAATGCAGTAGTCTGCATAACAGTAAATCTTATATTTTTTGTGAAAATAAAAATTCAAAGTGGAAAGCAAAAGAATATAAGAGGGGCCTTGAGACATGACTAATGACTAGAGGAAATGTCATTTTAGTGCCAGGAATGTCTTTCTTGTTTATTCTGGACCCTATTCGGAAATTGGCATCTTTTGAAATTTGTGTGAAATTGGCAAAATTGCTAAATTCTGACCACTGTACTGGATAGTAGAATTTCATAAATGAGTGGTTTCTTGCACCC